ATATATACCTAGCTACCAACCAACAACCAACCAACCACCTAACTGACAGACACAAGATATCAAAACCAACCAACAGCAGTGCAACCTGAGATGTATGTACACAGAAGATGAAGACAATGTAGGAACACACACACCTGCATATCTATATCTATCTAAATGTAACTAAAATACCTACTAGCCTCATCCTTACCTATATAATATTCTATGATATTGTAAAACAACAACAACAGCAGCAGCAACAAATTTCCCATACCAAAATGTAAAACCCCAAAAAGGTGCCGTGTACCCAACCCAACCACCAAAGCGGCAAGTTCCATCGTTTTGTTTGGCAAACGGTAACCCCAGCACCTTCCTTGGCGAATTACTTAGTCAGACATATTTGTACAAACCGGCAGCAGCAGAAGACAAGTCGGACAAATCAACCAGTCACCCAGCTAGGCAGTCATCCATCCATCCAGCTAGCTAGCAAGCTATCTAGCCAGTGACTTAAAGGGTGACATTTACGCCAACAATGGAAGGAAGAATGTGCAGACAAACAGCAGCAGCGGCGGGGATACCTTTTAAATGGATGACAAAAAGCAGTGCGCGACAACAAACAGGCAGTTAGACAAAGAGCCTGTTTTCTTCAGCCGTGTAGACGACAAGCCTCAGGTCGGTGTTGAAATCATGATTTTTTTTGCTAGGCTGACAACGGCTACGACGTCGTTGTGCTGTTGTGGCACAAATCCATTGTTATCCACTAGTTGGCACTATTCGGTCCGCTTAGCTTTTGTCACAATTTTGGTGACGAAGCTTGAATAGTATAAACTAACAGTGAGCGCGCACACACACACACACACTCACATACCTATACACACACAAATATTATAGAACGCATTCAGCACCTGGTTTAAAGTGTTATGCAAATGTTTCTATGTCAAACCGTTTGGTTCGTCTTCTTCTTCTTGTTCTTGTTCTATGGAATTCAAGTTGGTCTTTAGTGTTTAGATTCATTTTTGTGTCAGCACGGTTAGACGGACAGTGGTTTGAAACCATATATATAGCGCCTGAAAGTATGCAGCACACATTGTAAAGCAAACAATTTCACAATTGTAACGGATTTAAAAAAAATAGTTCAAATGCCATAAAGGTGATGATTAAAAAGAAAATAATTTTTTTAAGGTTCACATAGACGTAGTTTTTTAAGAAAATATATCTTAAAGGAATTAAAGAAAAAAAGTAGATTTAAAAGAATATTTTTTCAAGGAACATTCAGATTTTGATTTTTAAGAAATAAGTTTTCAAGTATCATTCAGGCGTGGATTAAAAAAAACTTTTTTAATTTTTTTTTTATACCACAGAGGCTGGAAGATGTTGATTTTACACAAAAATATTTTTTCAAGGACCCTTTTCAAATGGAGGAGTGGGTTTAAAAATCTATATTTTTTCAAAGGCCATCTAGGCGTGGATTTAAAAAATATATATTTTTCAAAGGCCATGTATGAGTGGATTTAAACAAATATATTTTTTCAAAGGCCATCTAGGTGTGGATTTAAAAAATATATTTTTTAAAATGCCATCTAGACGTGTATTTAAAAAATATATATTTTTCAAATGAAATCTAGGCAAGGATTAAAAAAAATATTTTTTTTTTCAAAGGCCATCTTGACGTGTACCAAAGGCCATCTAGGCGTGGATTTAAAAATTCGTAATTTTCAAATGCCATCTAGGCGTGGATTTAAAAAAAAAATATTCGTTTTAAGTCCATCTAGGTGTGGAATTAAAAAAAAAAATGCTAAGGCCATCTAGGCGTGGATTTAAAAAAGTATATTTTTTCAAAGGCCATCTAGACGTGGATTTAAAAAAACATATTTTTTCAAAGGCCATCTAGGTGTGTATTTAAAAAGAATAAATTTTTTTAAAGGCCATCTAGGTGTAGATTTAAAAAAGTATATTTTTTGAAAAGTATATTTTTTGAAAGGCCATCTGGGCGTGGATTTAAAAAAGTATATTTTTTCAAAGGCCATCTAGGTGTGGATTTAAAAAAGTATATTTTTCAAAGACCATCAAAGCGTGGATTTAAAAAAATATATTTTTTTCGAAGACTATATTTTTTTTAAAGGCCATCTAGGTGTGTATTTAAAAAGAATAAATTTTTTCAAATGTCATCTAGGTGTGGATTTAAAAATGATAAATTTTCAAATGCTTTAAAAAAAGTATATTTTTTCAAAGGTTATCTAGGCGAGGATTTAAAAAAGTATATTTTTTCAAAGGTCATCTAGGCGTGGATTTAAAAAAGTATATTTTTTCAAAGGCCATCTAGGCGTAGATTTAAAACAAAATATTCGTTTCAAGTCCATCTAGGTGTGGAATTAGAAAAAAAATCTAAGGCCATCTAGGCGCGGATTTAAAAAAATATATATTTTTTCAAAGGCCATCTAGGCGTGGATTTAAAAAAGTATGTTTTTTCAAATGCCATCTAGGCGTAGATTTAAAAAAAAAATATTCGTTTCAGGTCCATCTAGGTGTGGAATTAGAAAAAAAAATCTAAGGCCATCTAGGCGCGGATTTAAAAAAAATATATTTTTTCAAAGGCCATCTAGGCGTGGATTTAAAAAGATGTATTTTTCCAAAGGCCATCTAGGCGTGGATATAAAAAAGTATATTTTTTCAAATGCCATCTAGGCGTAGATTTAAAAAAAATATTCGTTTCAGGTCCATCTAGGTGTGGAATTAGAAAAAAAAATCTAAGGCCATCTAGGCGCGGATTTAAAAAAATATATTTTTTCAAAGGCCATCTAGGCGTGGATTTACAAAAGTATATTTTTTCAAAGGTCATCTAGGTGTGGATTTAAAACAGTATATTTTTTCAAAGGCCATCTAGGCGTGGATTTAAAACAGTATATTTTTTCAAAGGCCATCTAGGCGTGGATTTAAAAAAGTTTATTTTTTTCAAGGGCCATCTAGGCGTGGATTTACAAAAAGTATATGGTTTCAAAGGCCATCTAGGTGTGTATTTAAAAAGAATAATTTTTTCAAAGGCCATCTAGGTGTCGATTTAAAAAGTACTATTTTTCAAAGGCCATCTAGGCGTGGATTTAAAAAAGTATATTTTTTCAGAGGCCATCTAGGCGTGGATTTAAAAAAATATTCGTTTTAAGTCCATCTAGGTGTGGAATTAGAAAAAAGTCTAAAGCCATCTAGGTGTGGAATTAGAAAAAAAAAATTCTAGGGCAGTGGGTAAATACCCAAAGGTTAAATACTCGGTAAATTGGGTAAATACCCGGTAAATTGGGTAAATACCCATTTGTGGGTATTTATTTGTGTATTTACTATATTGAATAGGTAATACATCTTACACCCTATTTCCGGGTTTCTGTTATGAAATCGATTTAGAATGGATAGTTTTACGATACTTTAAAGACGTGGCTAAATACTTGGGTAAATACCCGAGTTTTTACCCTAAAATTGGGTATAAACTCATTAACTGCTGAACCACATGACAAAGGCGCCCAAAATTTTGGATACATGTTTTAATGTCAAAGCAAATATAAAAATAAAATGTGTGTGTGTTTAAAAAAATATTTTTTCCAATTATTTGGACCAAAAAAACACAGTCCACACCACTTCTCCCCTCTCTCCCACTCTCTCGTTATTATCTAAATCATTAATGTTTTACTTTATTGCTTGTCTCATCATCTGTTTGTATGTGTCTGTGTGTGTGTGTTCGGTGTATTAACAACAAATACTTAATACCATAACAGCTTGTATTATAATCAAGGACCTTCTTCTACTATCCACTAAACACTGCCACTGCAAAAAAAAAAAATTCTGAAGAGCAGAGCGAACAGAAAACCTGACTCTACTCTGACATAAAATAAAGACATTTGCATAAAATTTGCAAATACGGGGAGACAAAGAAAAAGAATACGAAGAATCTTTTAAAAATATATATTTTTTGATATCATAGCTGGTTGGATATTTTTTAGAAAATATTTTTAAGGTATCCCAGGGAGTATAATTTTAATGCCTTCTATTAATAGATAACCCTAAAGAGGTCTTCTATGTATTGAAGTCCTCCGAAGTGGCATCAGTCTACATCACACCTTTATAAATTCTTTAAATATTTGAAAATTATTTCCATTTCTGAAAATTAAGCAAGAAATTGTAAATGCGTGGTTAAAACATTACAAATGAAATTACAACCACACACACACATTTAAAACCGCATGTATGTTTCATAGAATGAACATTTGTCAGTTTGTAGAAATACCAAAAGTTTCTCGAAGCAACGTTGGCCGAGGTAGGCCGAGAACCGAACGTATTCTACTACTCAACATAAATCAAATAAACCTCAAGTTTTGAAGGTGGTTGTGGTTAGATTTTGGAAACTAGGCGAATAGTGAATGTACATACATTGGGTTCCATTGAAATATTTAAATAATAGTCAATAGCTGTCATCAGCAGTAGCTATAGCACCTACCATCCATCATCCTTAATCAATCAGTTATATTAAACACCCGCCCCCCCTTCATTCCCATTTGGTTTGTGTGTTTGGTTTTATAAAAGTGATGACCTCCCAGCCCGACCCTTTTAATTGCCCTATGCACTATCCTCTCGTTCGCTGTCGTTTATATCTCAAATATCATTATTAGCACACCTAGACATGTTTTTTTAATTCGCCTTTAATTTTATAATTCATACCGTCATTCGCAAATTTCTATGCGCCTCAAACCAAAAAAAAAAAACAAAACCAAAATTCGCATGTGTCATTTGACGTCAACAAAAATAACTACAACAACTACTACTACTACAAAACACCACCAACACAACAACAACAACATATTTCCCCTCTTGACCACCACGACGATGACAACAACAATGACCATCCTTGTCCTCCAACAACACCAACCACCACCACGGACCACTAATGACAAATCATCACAACGACCGTCACCTCGACCACCACCACCACGACGACAACAACAACAACCACAACGATGACACGTTGAACCAAAAAGGTTACCGGATTTTGTCGTTCACCTCAGGAAACCCGCAAAGCGAGTCCCACAGGATCTGTGACATCATCGGTTTCAAATGCAGCCCTAACACCGTCACGCCAATTAACGGATGCCGAAAAATTACGCAAAGTCATATTGGAATTGGTCGATACGGAAAAAACCTATGTTAAGGTAAGTGATAAGAAAAAAAAACGCAAATATTTTCAATTAATAAGAAGTAGAACAAAGTTCAGATTTATAAAATTGTGTTTTTTTGCAGCATTTAAATAACCTACTTGAAAACTATTTGGAGCCACTGAAACGTGAAACTTTCCTATCGAATGCTGAAATCAATGCTCTCTTTGGTAATATCCATGAAATTGTCACATTCCAGAGGCAATTCTTACAAAATCTGGTGGAGGCCTTAGAGCTGGAACCTGATTTCCATAAATTTGATCATCCTAGTCAATATCGAGTAAGTAAAAACAAACACACACCCACTCACCCACACATTCTATTAGAATTTTCCAACTAATCCCCAAAATTTTTTTTCTTTTCCTACAGAATGTCCTCTTTGCCATCGGTTCCGCATTCCTTTACTATGTAAATCATTTCAAGCTCTATTCATCGTTTTGTGCCAGTCACAGTAAGGCCCAAAAAGTTTTGCATCCAAGTAAGTTCGATTTCGCTACCCCGTTTCTTTCCCGCAACCTCATTCTACCAACTTTCAGATGAAGGAAATCATGCATTGCAAGAGTTCCTAAATGCTCGCAATCCCAAACAGCAGCACAGCTGTACCCTGGAATCGTATTTGATTAAGCCCATACAACGTATCCTAAAGTATCCCCTGCTATTGCAACAATTGCGTAATTTAACCGATTCCCGGGCCGATGAACATTTACACTTGTGTGGTAAGAAAATCTAGAAAATATAGTCGATCCACCCATTCCCCTGTTCTAAATTCGTTGATATTCTGTTTTCTATTTTTTTCACAGAGGCCCTCAAGGGCATGGAAAAGGTAGCCGAACACATCAACGAAATGCAAAGAATCCACGAAGAATATGGTGCCATATTTGATCATTTGTTCCGTCAACATCAAAAGGCCTGCAAACAGCCAATTGATTTGAGTCCAGGTATGCATGGACAGCTACTGAGATTTCCAGAGTTTCCAATGAAAATTCATTTTTGTTATATTCACTCCTTAGGCGATCTTTTGTATTACGGCGGTGTGGAATGGTTGAATATTTCCGATTTTCTGGGCAAAATCAAAAAAGGTTTGGAGCTACATGCCATGTGCTTCGTATTTAAATCAGCGGTTGTGTTCCTTTGTAAAGAGCGTCTAAGACAGAAAAAGAAATTAATGGTAAGTTCAAATTACTTTTGCAGCATCAGGAAATCACCATCTCACTCTCTCAATTTCTTATCCTCCCATTTTATCGGTACGACTCTCTTTCATTGCTTCATCATTTTCAGGCTTAATAATTATTGATATCAGATTCAATCAACATTGACTTCATAGTCAATTACTATAGACTTGATAGTTCAAAATAGTCATTGACTTCACAATCAATGACTATTTTTATAACCAATGACTATTGACTTCAATAGTCATTGACTATAAAGTCAATAGTCATGGACTGTGAAGTCAATAGACATTGACTATAAAGTCAGTAGTCATTGACTATGAAGTCAATAGTCATTGACTATGATGTCAATAGTCATTAACTATGAAGTCAATAGTTGACTATGAAGTCAATAGTCATTGACTATGAAGTCAATAGACATTGACAATGAAATCAATAGTCATTGACTATAAAGTCAATAGTCATTGATATTGAGGTGAAGAGTCATTACTTATTAAGTCAATAGTAATTGACTCTGAAGTGAATAGTCATTGACTACGAAGTCAATAGTCATTGACTATAAAGTCAATTGTTGTTGAATATGACGTCAATAGTCATTATCTATGAAGTCAATGACTATTGACTTTATAGTCAATGACTATTGACTTTATCGTCAATGACTATTGACTTTATAGTCAATGACTATTAACTTCATAGGCAATAAATGTTGACGTCATAGGCAATGACTTCATAGTTAATGACTTTGGACTGTATAATCAATGACTGTTGACTTTATAGCCAATGGCTACTTACTTCATTGACAATAACTGTTGACTTCATAGGCAATAACTATTGACTTCATAGTCAATGACTTCAGACTTCATAGGCAATAACTGTTGACGTTATAGGCAATGCCTATTGACGCCACAGTCAATGACTATTGACTTCATATTCAACAACTATTGACTTTATAGTCAATGACTATTGACTTTATAGTCAATGACTATTGACTTTATAGTCAATGACTATTGACTTTATAGTCAATGACTATTGACTTTATAGTCAATGACTATTGACTTTATAGTCAATGACTATTGACTTTATAGTCAATGACTATTGACTTTATAGTCAATGACTATTGACTTTATAGTCAATGACTATTGACTTTATAGTCAATGACTATTGACTTTATAGTCAATGACTATTGACTTCATAGTCAATGTCTATTGACTTCATAGTCAATGTCTATTGACTTCATAGTCAATGACTTTTAACTCCATAGTCAATGACTAGTGACTTCATAGTCAATGACTATTGACTTTATAGTCAATGACTATTGACTTCATAGTCAATGACTATTGACTTTATAGTCAATGACTATTGACTTTATAGTCAATGACTATTGATTTCATAGTCAATGACTATTGACTTTATAGTCAATGACTATTGACTTTATAGTCAATGACTATTGACTTCATAGTTCAATGACTATTGACTTCATAGTTCAATGCCTATTGACTTCATAGTTCCATGACTATTGACTTCATAGTCAATGGCTATTGACTTCATAGTCAATGACTATTGATTTCATAGTCAATGACTATTGACTTCATAGGCAATGACTACTGACTTCATAGCCGGTGACTATTGACTTTATAGTCAATGACTAATGACAATATAGTCAATGACTAGTGACTTCATAGTCAATGACTATTGACTTCATAGTCAATGACTATTGACTTCATAGCCAATGACTATTGACTTCATAGCCAATGACTATTGACTTCATAGTCAATGGCTATTGACTTTATAGTCAATGACTATTGACTTCATAGTCAATGGCTATTGACTTTTTGGTCAATGACCATTGACTTCATAGTCAATGGCTATTGACTTTATAGTCAATGGTTATTGACTTTATAGTCATTGACTATTGATTTCATAGTCAATGACTATTGATTTCCTTCTTCCACTGATATCAGAGTCAATCCACATAACCCTCTTAGAAATATCCCCTTTCCCAAAATGATCTACCTCTCAATTTTCTGTAATTTAAATTTTTCTGTATTTTCTATTTATTCATCCCTGTAGGGTGGCTCGAGTAAAAGCACTCCCAACGAAGTGGAAATCATACGTTATCAGGTCTTAATACCCGTTACTGAAGTCCAGGTGCGAGCCTCATCGGCCAAGGATATGGATTCACATTTCCTTTGGGAATTGATACATTTGCGTTCCCAGCTGCAACGACGTTCCGAAAAGGTCTACGTGCTTTCGAATAGCACTGCCGATTTCCGTAATGCATTCCTAAAGACCATACGCCAGATAATACGTGAAAGCGTACGCAATATGTCGATTCCTATGAAGAATTTCGGTGGTAGTTCGGGTTCGGTGTCGGGTATGTCATCACAGGGTGGTTGCTCTGGAAGTTCACAGACCTTGGAAAGGCCCAAGCAGCAGGTAAGCTATTGCATTTTTTGGTATACAGAATATAGGCTTGTTTCTCTTTCCGTCTCTATCTTCACCAAATGACTAACCAAATGTATTGCTAATGTTTGTAATACCTCACCACGCTTTTCCCCTCTATCTCTCTCTCTCTCCATATTCTTGTAGATAACAATAATGCAGGGTTCCCAGACATTGGGTATACCTAAGAAAAAATCCGGTTCACAAAGACATTCGGCTGGAAATATAGATTATGATAACATCTCAGGTAGTCAAGAGGCAGAAGATGTACCATTCCAAGAGCATCATCAAATGCATACATTACACACCTCCACTTTCCGTAGTCGTAGTAAAACTGTGGGCGATGCTTCAGGTAATGATTCTCGAAGAGCATCCCTTCCACCACCACCACAACCTTTACAAGTTCTGGATCATTCATTTTGACTTATTTACGGAAATTGTTTTTATAGATATTCTAGGTTCTGCCATGGATACAGCTGCCCAGCAGCAGCAACAACAATTGCATCTTCACTATCAACAACAGCACCAACAACAACAACAGCAGCAACAACAATTACAATCTCAAAGTGATGTTGAACGCATGGATCCTGGCACCAAATCGGAAGGTGAAGAGGAATTCCAACAGGGTACAATTAAAACGAAAGCCTCTCTGGGCAGAACACCAAACCATTTGACATTAAGGTAAGATCGCTCAGAAGTGTCCTCTCTCCACTCCGTTTATTTTGTGCTTTTTCCGAAATAGCTTATAATACGAATCGATCCTCTATAATTTATCTTTTCTTAATCTTTATCTCTCCTCTCTCTCTCTATTCCAGTACCACATCAACACTATCCGTTGGCAGTACCGGAAGCCAGGCACGTTTAATTCAATCATCACATCCTCCATCAACGTATCAACCAGTTCTTATGAAAGACTTAGGTAAGCGAACCTCTATTTCCGATGATTATGATTCAAATAATAGGGTAGCCTTGGCTACAGTTACAGTGGAAGACGATCATGATGATGGTGGTGATGACCCACAATTCCATAGTGACCATGATAATAATGTTGCTGCTGTTGTTGGTGGCACGGATGATAGTGACGGCGGCAACAACAGCAACAACAACGACGACTACGACGATGACAACGCCGACAATGACAATGACGACAATGTAAACGAATCTCAAGCCACAGCAACAACACCAACAAATCTTAATTTAAGTCTAGTTAGTGGTAGCATCAATTCCAGTTGTGGCCCCTCCCAAAATTCCCACGATAGCAGTAGTCAATTCATTTCCTCCGGCAGTTTGCATGCCACGCCGGGTAAATTTTCTCCTCGACAGTCGCCCAATCGGGATGTCGAAGTTATTGAAATATTCAAAAGTGAAATAGATAGGATTAGTGCTGCCACGCAGCAGGTATCGGTTGTGCATTTTTCCACGGGCAAAGAGTCTTCCAGGAAATCACCCTCCGCCTCGGTGAGGACAGCGGCGGAAAATGTGATGGACGAATCGTCGGGCATCCAGTATATGGATAAACATCTGTGTGAATTGCAACAGGACAGACTGACGGAGAGTGTGACGTGCGACATTGAATCGTATATGGCGAATTTGAAGGAGACCTCGTTGGAGGCCACCGATATACAAATAGAGGGCAGTGATCAGCAACAAAATGATTCGAGTCTTTCGCCAGAACCTCAGACGGTGGTGGAAAATACTCAGCAAACGGTGACGGCCGATATTGAATCACCACCCAGACCCATTGTGGAATCGGATAGCACCGGTACGGCCACCTATACTACATCGGAAAAGTCGGAAGATGAATCGGAAGGTGGCACTTCGGGAGCATCCACCACAACCATTGGCACTACGCACCATGTGGTGATTGATAAAAAAGTTGATAAGGTATTCAAATCGAAATCTTCCGATAAAATTGCCAAAACCTCGAAGACCAGTTCCAGTGGTAGTAATGGTAGCAGCAGTACCACCTCTGGTACGGCTGGCAAAAGTAAATTGAAATCACCTCGCCAAAATATTTACATTTCACCAGATCGTTCCAAATCTCAGGGTAGTTCTCCGGTGAGGATTATTAAAATCAAATCACCGCGCACCAGCCTAAGTGATCAGGGCAAACGTTTGAGTGTCAGCTCCAGTCGTGACTCATCACAGGATAGGCTCTCGACTGGTAGACGTACACCCAGTCCACGGCGGGCGTCCGATGGCAGTGGTGGTATTTTGAAACGTTCGGCCAGTCCCTCTGGAGGTATACTCAAACGTCCGCCCAGTCCCTCGAAGTCTAAGAGTCCCGATCGCAGTTGTCTCAAGAAATTGACACCGTCGCACGATTGCAGCATTGAATCGTTGTCGCCTCATATTTCACCACGCAACAGCATTGAATACCTTTCACCGGATCGTTCCGCCACCACCACCACCTGCACAATGTGTCAACATCATTCACCACGCAACAGTTTCGATAGCCGCAGTTCGGAACCCAACTTGGATTTGCCTCGTTCTGCATTGAAATCACCTCGTGGTAGTTTTGAGTCACGCTCACCCGATCGCAGCTTTGGGGGGTCACGTAAACGTAGTGCCTCGGCACATGCTCACATAGACAATGGCCAGAAGTCGAAGGCCAGCGAAGCCTATTACCAGTACTACCCGATTTACGATAATCGCACCTGTAGTGATCACTATGTGTCCGTGAGACGTGACAGTGATCATCGCCCTGATGGACTGCATCGACGTGCCAGCAAATCCCTGGAACGTTCCATGTCACGTGACAGCACCACAAGTAGTTCATATCGTTACGGCGTGTCGCCGGATCGTTATTATGCCCCCATTTCGGATGCCATGAACACACCAATGCGTTCACAATCCGCCGAGAACACATTCTCCTCGGCCTCGTACCGACAACATGATGCGACGCCATCCAGTGCATATTATCATTTCGGTGCGCCCTCTCTAACACTACAGCAACAATACGGGCTGTATCATGAGCCGCAGTGTCCCCATGACCGTCCCTCGGCATCCTATCAATTGAGTTCTTCCGCTCCCGAACACACCACATGCATGGACTGTTTGTATCAGAAGAGGCCATCCTAGCATAGGGGGCGTGTACGGCAGAGTCGTACACGCAAAAAGGTACCACGAGGAGCCGTGTTGATTCAGGGGCCAGGGGGTATAAGCGGTATGTCGGGTCATGGTGAAACCTGTGATCCGAGTATGTTTAGTTCGCAGGCAACTTTGGTGCAGCAGCAGCAGCAACAACAGCCTCAATCATCGGCAATGGGGGCTCCACAGCGGGTTAGTGGAGGAGGAGGTGGTGGTGATATGAGTGGTGGCGAGTGTGTTGATTGCCATGATTTTTATGAAATTCATGTTTAAATTGCAAGTGATAGCTAGGTAAATAATAGATAGAAAATGGGAGAGAACACTTGCAAAACGGTTCCTAATACAGGGTATTTAATAACAGAATAGTGAACAATAGCAACAACAACAACAAAATATATACAGCTAACATAATTCAATACCTCAGCAGTTGCAGAATAACAGGAATAAATAGGACAACAACAACACACAAACAGATAGATACAACAACAAAAAACACTACTCTCTTCCCTTAAATGATCTCTCGAAACATAACAAGAAAAAAAAATTAAATAAAAACCGAACGAATTATTATCTTTAAGAGTTATAAAGAGAACAAAAATACATTCCCTTAACAAACACCCAAAACACAGAGAAAACACGTATACATACACGTAAATTAATTAGAATTAAACTCTGAGATAAAGTTAACATTGAAAGAAAAAAATATTTAAATATAAATAAATAAAATCAAAATATTAAATCAAAGAAAATAATTAATTAAATGTATAACGGTAAACTGTAACACAAACACATACTAAGAACGTATTTTAAATCTAACCTCCAAATTATTGTGTAACATTGCCGGAGTAGTATAAGGAGAATTTCAAAGAGGCCAATACGGAATTTAGTATCTCTGATATTTTGACGACACTTACACGTAACCCTGACAATGCCAGAGAAAGAAGAATAATTCAAAATCGGATATTTCATATTAAAACCTAAATATTTTATTTATTATTTAGAACCTTTGAATACAAAATGGTTGTATACAAATATAATTTGAAACCAGTGAGCGGAGCAGTATAGTCGAATGGGCCCGACCATACGATACCCAATACAACTACCACGGAACTCCATCTTTCTGCAGATATTTATTTCGTACCTGGGCAATATTTCGTGATATTTGCACTCTTTTGACCGATTAGGGATTAACAGCACCTCTTCGTTACACTGACATATTTTCCGAATAGTCCCAATATTCAGTACAGCCTTGCTAATTACTTATCCAGATTCCCTTCACCTTGGGTTGTGTTGTGATGTTCGGCCTGTGGCCTATAAATCGATTTGAAAATACACAAAAAATATGTTTTCGGTCCAATTAATCCCAATTTTTTTATGTGATCATCACCAAAAATTATAGGCGTTGTCCTTGACCATAACTGGAACGTCATGGAAAATTTTTACAGCGATCAGCGCTATGAATAAGTATGCATCTGTAAATATTTATATATAACTTCCACATCCGAGTACATACAGCAATATAATTGGTATAAATTCGGAGGTCAATCACTCCTCTTGGATATATTACCAACATATCGGGTCTATATCCTTCAGTAGTGAATATATACGCTATAGAATACAAATATTGTAATTTTTCACACAAAAGTCAGGGTCCATTTGACCCGCAAAATATTGACCGATCTTAAAACAGGCAAGCTTATTCCTTGGCCCGATCCTCTTCTCCATGTAAAATTTCGCGATGTTCGGTCCATAATTGCGGTCTCTGGAGCGACCAGAAAACCCGATAAAAATTAAGTATTTGGTCCATTACATCCCCTAAATATTAATCGATCTTAATTGGCCGAACCCATCCTACATGCAAAATTTCGTGAAGATTGGTCCATAACTGTGGCCTGTATCGTGATCTTTTCATTGAATTCGTGACCTTCCCCTTCTACGTGAACCATCAGATGGCTCGGTTTTATATGCCTTTTGAGCTAGGGCAACCTCATCCATTCTGACATGACCTAGCCAACGCAGCCGCTGCAGCTCGACACGTGTGACTATGTCGATGTCCAAGAATAGATGGTACAACCCATGGTTCATTTGAATGCAATATTCAACGTCGACGCAGATCAGCCCATGGATCTTTCGGAGAAATGTTCTCTCAAGCCCTGCAGGAGCTTCCTAATCTGCCCATACTTCTGATCCATACACCAGCACGGGTAGTATCAACGTCTTGGCAAGAGGTAACCTATGGATATATAGTAGAGCGCAAAAGTCGACTTTTAGAATTTCCGATTTTTGCCTTTGACTAAAATATCGATTTTCGATCTTTCGATTTTGTAAAACCTGTTAAAAATCGATCTTTCGGAAAAATTTTCTCTCAAACTCTCCAATATCTGCCTCATCTGCTTGCGCAAGTACCAATGCTTCTAATCCATATACCTACACGGGCGTCTTGTAGATTGTGCGTTTGGTCTGGCCAGAGGTAGCCTAGGCATGCGAAGTCAAGCCCAAAAGTCGACCTTTAGACTTTTCGATTTTTGACACTGAACAAAAACCGATTTTTAGACTTTTCGATTTTTGCCTTTGACTAAATGTAGATCTTCCGATTTTGTGAAACCTGTTCTAAATCGCCCTACACACCTACACTCTACACAACTATGTTGTGCAGCCCCAAGAGTTTGTAACGCCGCCAAATATTGGTCGTAGACCAACCCTCAAGTATACCGATCGTCATATCTCGACGAGCTGAGTCGATCTAGACATGTGTGTCTGTATGTCCGTCTTTCATTATAATTTGTAAACACGATTCAAGCCACAATTATGGACCAATCTTCACGAAATTTTGCATGTAGGATGGGTTCGGGCCAATGAAGACCCCTATTGTTTTTGGTAAACATCGGTTAATATTTAGGGGATGAAATGGACCAAATACTAAATTTTTGTCGGTTTTTTACATGTTTTGATAAAGATCAGGTGCTTACGTATTCATTTATTATTTAATAACCCATTACCACACTAGATTGCGGAAATATAGCTCTGATCGCTTTGAAAATTTCCATGAGCATCCATGTATGGTCAAGGACAACGCCTATAATTTTCGGTGATGATCAAATAATTATTTTGGGATGAACTGGACCGATAACTAACTCGGTCAAGAGTGGGCAAATATCGCGAAATATTGCCCAAGCTCAGAATATAGAACCACAGAAAGTTAGATTTTCGTGGAAGTGCAGGGTATCATATGGTCGGCCCCGTCCGACTATAGTGCTCCGCTCGCTGATTATTTATAAATTTGATTTTTTATATAAAATGAAGTTCTGGAATGTGTGATTTTTGGGAACCAACGTATTTATAAAGAATATCGAAAGAAGATCTTCAAAAGTAAACTTTGCGAATTCCTAAAAGATCAAAAGTCAACATCAACTTTTTGACTTTTCTTCACAAAAAAATCAATTATTCGTTTGTTTCTAAATTGCTTGACAATATTAGCATCTGCTGGCCAACACTATTAGTTTTATTTATGGCGGTACCAAGGTATATAAAATCTTTGAAACCTCCTCTAAGCTGTAGTTTTCAAGTTCCACAGTTGGTCCGAGCCTACTGGATGTCTTGCGCGTTGATACCAACAGCTTGGTTTACTAGACCCAATGTTCGATCCATAATGTCGCTGTCATCGGCATAGGCTAGTAACATTTGCCTCTCGCATGACCTTTTGCAGAAGGATGTTAAAAAGATCACACGACAGACAAACTGTCACCTTGTCTGAGTCCTCGTTGGGTATTAGAGGGCTCCAAGTGGTCCTTTCCGACTTTAATTGCTGACCTTGTGCCAGTTATTGTTATCCTGCCGTAGCCGTATTAATTTGACAAGGCTTTAAACAACTCTGAACCTCTGAATAGGTGGAATGCATCGATGTGTTTTTCATTTGTCTTTTCCGGGATTTGACGCAAAGTGAAAATCTGTGGTCAGTGGTGGATTTGCCAGGCCTGAAGCCGCAGTGGTATAGTCCAATAATGTCATTGGCCTTTAGGTTGAGTTTCGGGTTCAAGTGGTCAGGGAAGTGGCCGGGAGTGATGTCTGGAGCGTAGGAGATGAATAGGGGTAAGTAAGTCGACTTTCTACTAATCGATCGATTAATCGACTTTTTGTATGGATTTGGCGTAGAGTGAAAATCTGGTCAATGGTGGATTTGCCAGACCTGAAGCCGGAGTGGTATAGTATTTGACCTCTGGGTTGAGTTTCGGTTTTAAGGGGTCATGGAAGTTGCCGGGAGCTGAGTAAGTGATGTTTGGAAGAAAGGAACTGAATAGGGATAAGTAAGTCGACTTTCGACTAATCGATCGATTAATCGACTTTTTGTATTGAGAAGTCTAAAAGTCGAAGTCGACTGTTGATCTTTGGGGAAAGTGTAAAGTCAACTTTTCAAAAGCGACTTTCGATTTTCTCCATAAACACAAAGCCCAAATTCCACAAAAAAATTACACATTCTAGATTTTTATTATTTCCATTGACAACAATTCATATTGATAAACTAGGGATCTTACGCGGATATTCTCCGCTTTGCATTTACACACTAATTTATTAATATAAAAAATGATCCTTAAGAACTAAATAGTACAATATGAATTAACCTATCTTAGACTAATGTGTAAAAGAGAGAGAGTACATCTGCCATAACACATGGAGTGGACACAAACATTTCTTTATCTCACATGTGGCAAGCACGCTACACCTGCTTATCAGTATGTTGTGAAGATTACTCCCCGTAATCTCACCCGAACATACCACATGTAGCAATAGAAAACTCCTATCTTATTCTTGTGTACAAATATTCAGTCAAAATAATCCCATATCTCAAGTGGACTGTAGACAAAAATAGATCCCTGTTTAACTAAATATTCTCTCTTCTACACAAGAGACCCACAGCAAGACATTCACTATCATTATTATACGAAACCTATGTTCGCTACGTGAACACATATAAAAAAATCAACATTCTTTTCGATTTTGCATTTCTCAGTAAAAGTCGAAAATCAAT